GGAGAACAAAAAATTTAGAGGGATATGAAAATTTCAATATTCCCTCCAATACATTTGATTGAATCCCACATTGTAATGCCCTCAAAAATAATACCCAAACCCATCATTTAACAGTTCTATAAACATGATAGCTAAGTCACATTTCCATTCATCAGAGTTAATATTACAAAAGGATATTTCATATAAGTTACAAATGTTTACAAAACAATAAAATGCCCGCGAGCTTACATCTTTCCAAGTTGTTACTTGGTTACACAAAAGAAGAGTTCTAACTCTTTTACAAGTAAAGCCCTCGGCTTAGATTTACATTTAGATACAAATATTGACAAAACATCAAAATGAAGCCTTCAGCTCCAAAACCTCCCAAGCTATACCCTTGGAGGTGGCATATCACATGTACCTGAAAATGGTGTCCCAAGTAGGGTGAGCCAAAGCCCAGTAGAGATATGCTAAACCAAATATGAGAAATGGCTAAAACATTAGCATTCGACAAATGGCTAACACTTGTAAACCAACTTACACCCGTTCCATAGCTCAACAACAATTACATCCATATTTCAATCCACTTCCATTAATTTATCCAAATCAATTTATAGACATGGTTCAATATTTATCCGAGCAATTCGAAATGACACTACAACTCATATTATCAACACTTCAATCATCAACGTCATTCAAACGTATTTAAGATTTCGAGATTTTCACCCTAGACACTCTGGCCAACTTAATTATCAATGGAGTTCATCCCCTATCTCCTCCCAAGCAATGGAGTACATCCCCTATCTCCTCCTCTACACATAACCATATACAATGTATTTAAACACATTATCATATACAATGATCAATTTAAAGCACATATTCAAGATTTTTTGATGAAATTTCTCTGTGATCATATCAGAAAAAATTTAAAATTTCTCTGAGTTGGGTCAAAATTTTTTTGAGTCGAGCACAAATTTTTCTAAGTCAAATTTTCTCTGGAAAATGTTGAGAGATTCCAACTACTATAAAAATATTATATATCCTTCATTTTATAAAATTTTAATATTAGAGACCTTAAAAGAAATATTCCCAAAAAATACATTTTATAAAACCACTACACTCTGATCTATTTGTTTGGGAAGAAAATATTTTTCATATTTTTTGGTGTTTAGTATAATAAAAAATAAAAGTCAACGGAAAACATCTTCTACTGTCAATGAAACATAAGCTTATTTGGATAAAAAATATTTTCTACTTTTAAAAGGCAGAAAATGTTTTACAGACTAAAATTTTATTAATATCACCACAACACCATCACCACATTCACCATGGCCACTGCCACCGTCACCATCAACACTGCCATTGTCCCACCACCTCCTCCTCTCCTTTCACCTTTTCTCCTCCACTTCCACCATCATGACCAAACATAAAAATATATATATATATATATATATAATTCACTAAAAAAAATTTCGGTTCAAAAAGAGAAATAATGATGAAGACTATTTATCATGCTCATTTTTTGGGAGATGATATACATAGTCGGAATCATCAGTACTCATGTGAAATGTGTAGTGAGAGATTGACTAACGCTTGAGACCTTAAAAATGGGTGACCTCATGAATCTCAATTGATGTGGACCACATGTTTGTAATTTTTTTTTCTCTCCTCTCTCTCACAAGTACGTGAGGGCCGTGGGGGTTGTGTTTTGTGGAGGTCTGTATCAAAATTGTAATAGATTAGCCTTCTTGTGTTTATATTCTATTTATATATGTATGCAATAAGACCTTCTTTCGGGACTTAAAATTTTAGATAAAAAGTTAAAAAATAATTATAAATTGTCATATTACTCTTTCTATTTTTTGTATATTTTTTTTTAAAAAAAATTAAAAAATCAACTAAAACGAGAATTATCAAAGTGTGAACATAACGTCCAAACAGCTACTCCATTTACCCTATTATTATTAAGTGTGAACATAACGTCCAAGCAGCTACTCCATTAACCCTTTTTGCAACTTTTATGATCGTGGTTTGAAAATTTTTAGACAAATCCCTATTACCTTATATAGGTATAACTGGAATAAGTTTGGTGGGATTGAAAAATTGTTTAAATTAAATATTAGTTATATTGAAAAGAGTCTCGTTACATTTTTTTAATTTTACCTTTTTAATTTTATTTTTAATGATGCGATTAAGATTTATGTGAAACGGTTCTATACTTCTCTACTCTCATCTTTAGTTTCCTTTAATTTCACATCATTGATAATAGAATTGGTAAGACAAAATTAAAGAAATTAATCATTTTTCTATTAAAAATAATCTTATTTGAACTCAATGTTTTAACCCAAGTTTATTTGTCCAAACTCGAGTTGTCCCAATTCTTTCCACAAGAAACTAAATATATATATATATATATATATATCAAAACTAACATACTTTTCTACGGGGGTTGGCAGAAAGGTATTAGTTGAGATTGTCGTATGGTCCAAAACTCCAATCAATGTATGATTACTAAATTCTTGAGTCTTAGTAAGAATGTAAATTGAAAAAGGTAAGGACTCGTAAATGGGAAATTCCATTGTAAACCCTTCTTATTGTATCCATCTTTGGTTATAATTAATTTTTTTTTTAATTATGATCTTATTTTAATAATACCTCATAAGATTTTTTGTTATATTTTATGTGTTATTTGGTTATGACACTTTTTTTTTATAGTTATAACTCATAAAATATGAAATTATGACATTTTTTTTTTAATTGTAAAGTGTATACGATACACATTCTTCATGTATACCGTAGTCTTTCCCCTCGTAAATAGTCTTGGGATATACTTGTTAGGTAAGCATATGTCTAAAACACAAATTACTTTTAGGCCTTGTTTGGGAAGTTGGCTATCATAGTTAGTTATTTGACATTTTGATTATTTTAACTTAACTAAAATAGTTGTATTTGGGAGTAGATTGACTTTCTTTTGTAGTTGATTTGATGGTTGTGAGAAAAAAAAATGAAACGATTATAAATTAAATGTGATATTTTATTTTGTTGACTATTTTAGTCTATTTTATCTTTTAACAGATTATTTTAGCCCAAAGGAGGAATTTAAAAAAGAAATTAAAAAATGTGTGTGAAATTAGATGAAATGTAAATATTTTTTATTAACATTTCATTTACTTATCTTTTTTTTTTTTTTAATTTCCAAATCCCTTTCAAATATCCCAATCAAATTTAACATTAAAGAGATGGCATAGCATTTCTATATAAAGGTTTACACCCCCATGCCAGCATTCTGGTTCTTTTTAGTGTTTTTGAGAGTGTTGTTAATTGAAGTCTCGAACTGTATTTCAGGTTAATATTCAACCGGTGGAGAACGTAATGTAAATTTTACAAATGCAGATCTCAGCGGGTTATAGACACCATATTTTAAGATATTTCAAAGAAAATGTTTTTCACTTTTTCTTTTATAATTATCAAATTAATTTTAAAAAAAATTAATTGTCATTCTAAATATAATTTTTTTAGTCAGGTTAAAATAGTTTTAAAAAATTAAAAAATTAATTAAAATAACCTATTTTCAAATAGGGCTAAAATATATTTTTAGAAAAGAGAGTAGAGACAAAAAGTTGAAAGATCTGCGTTGCAAATGAAAATAAAAAATAAAAAATAGAGATTATGGCTTTGTTTGATATAATATTTTGGGCTAAAATAGGTATACAAGACAAAATACGTTATTTTATTCAAATAAGATAATATGTCACATCCAATTCATAATCATTTCATTTTTTTTCTCATAAAAGTGAAAAAGTCTAAAAATCTATCCCAAACGACACTTTTTAATCTTAGACTAAAATAGTCAAAAAAATTAAAAAATCAATTTACATCCCAAATTTGCTCTATGTATGTGAGATATGTATAAAGTTAATCTAACTGTTTAGTTATCGTTTTAGCCTCCGTTTGGGAAGTAGGTTGGCTTTTTGGCTTTTTGGCTATTTTAGCCTGGGCTATTTTAGCCTGGTTTGGGAAGAGCTTTTTGGCTTTTTTGACTTTTTTTGTGAGAGATGATTGTAATGATTATGGGTTGAATTTAATGTTTTGTTTTTTGTGGCTAAAATAGCCTATTTTGTTTTTTGTGGTTATTTTAGCCAAAAAAACCTAGGCTTTTTCTTGCCAAACGGAGGCTTAGTGTAATTCAATGGACAATATTCTGCTTGTGTATTAAATATTTCTACATACAATTTAGATTTTGGATTGTCTAATGTATCTAGGCTTGACCCAAATTTATTTTGAAAAATTACAATTCAATGTATTTTTTCAAAACATATTTCAAATTAGTGATAAAATTTATCAATTTTAATAATTGATTTGATAAATTTTTTCATGACTTTATAATTCTTTTTATCTTTCAACTGATTTGTTTATGTCCTAAAAAAAATTAGATTCGGCTTGAATTTTTCAAATTGGGTCCACCCAAATTGCACCCTTAAACATGTGTCAAACAATGAAAACCCTGCCAAACCATAGCTTTTTTTGCCGTGAATTATTGTTTTCAAATTTGATCAATTTTATTTTAAAATTTTAGGATATTTCACTCTAAAAGACCTAAATAAAATTGACAAAAATTTATAAATATTTCAATAAAGAAAAAAAAAATACAACTATTTTAGCACTAAACTAAACAACAACATGTGATTTCGTAATTATTGATTAAAATATCAACAAATGGAAAAAATTTAATTACCTCATTTTTTTTTTTCTCTCAAAGAAATCTTAAATCCAAACATAACATATCATTAATTTTTTAAATTTTACAAACAATGTTGAAATATTAGTTAATTTGCTCAAAATATAGTTCTCATATATTTTGGAAACTTCACGGGTGATAACGGCTGCTATGACCTTTTTTAATGAAGAGGTTAAAAGTAATTTTTTTTAAAAAAACTTGGTTTTTTTGTTTTGTCATATCATTTCTATATTTTTTTAAATATTTTTTTTCAAAAAAAAATTAAAAATTAACTTTTAACTTTCTTTTCAAAACAATCCTATAAACACGCTAAAATATATGTTACACGAAGGTATTATGATCTTAACAACTTCAACAATCACACATTTTTTTGTGTGAATTTTGGAGCTTAATATACAATAATTTTTAATATTTTTAACAATAATATTAGTCACAAATTACACGACCATGAGCTGTGGAAATCCCAAAAGTGGATGAGGAGATAACGGCGATAGTGGCGGGACGTTAAATATACCATTCCCTTGCTGATCCTCCCATTCCCACACCGCCGTCCAACTCGACGGCGTTAACGGACAATTCGTCATACTACTACTCACCGCCGATACGTCAGATTCCGGCGACTTCTCCTTCTTCACCGGCCGTTCTTCGGTTGTTTCCGCAACTTCTCTGCTCCTTTTCTTGTCGCCGTTCTCGGCGGCGGTGGCGGCGCCATACGATTTGCCTGCTTCGAGAGGGAAGTTGAGAATCGCTTTGCTACCGCGCATCTTGAATGCGGCTCTATCGTAAGCCTTCGCAGCTTCAATGGCGGTGTCGAATGTCCCTAGCCAAACCCTAGATCCTCTGCGTTTCGGATCTCGGATCTCCGCCGCGAACTTCCCCCACGGCCGTCGCCTGACGCCTCTGTAGTGCTGCCTCTCCTCCGTTGTCGACGATTTCTGTCCCGAAACCACCGGCTTAGCAGGCTCTCCAAACTCCAACCACTCGAATTTCTTCCCCGGAGGCAGATCGAGTTTCAGCGACGGCCTACGATCGATAGAGCTCAAGCTCGAGCTCGATAGAGAACTTGAATTCGGGGACGTAAGATCGATTATTTGAGGCTTCGACTCAAATTCAAAGAAATCAGTTCCATTGTGTTCAAAATTGATCGATTTGGGGACGAAATCGAAAAGGTAAGTCATATTAACTTCGTTCGAGTTCAGAAAATTGGAGATTACATTTGAAGATTCACAACTCGAGGTTTGTGAACAGAGAGAATCAGATTGAGAAGTCGTAACCTCAGTTTTGACACTGCTACTACAATCAAATGACGTGAAAATCGAGCTGGTGTTGCTGAGATCCGTGACAGAGCTCGCAATAGGAGAGAGCTCGCCGAAGAGGTGTTGTTTGATGAGCTCAAGAGCTGTGAATTCGTCCTGTGTCGCCATTTTTAAGCTTAAAATTGGGATTCAGAGAGAGAAATTTGAAGAAACCTAGAGAGAGAGAGAGAGAGAGAGAAGAGTTTGAAGAATTTCTCGTTGATGAGAGTCGGAGGGAGAGTGGAAAGGTATATATAGAGCGAAGAGGGAGCGGCCTTCAAGCGATTGTTTGATCCTGACCGTTCAATTAACTTGAAAGCTTTGAATATTGAGGCCAAGTGAGGCATCGGACGGCTATAATTTAAAGGTAAGTTGATTCTGTTACGTCGCGCATTCTGGTTAATATTATTATAAGATGAATGGGAATTTCTAGTTTGTGCCTTCCACTTCCACACTCTGCACGTTTGGATAAAGGTGGTTTTTTAAATAGTAAGATTAATGTAAATTTGTTTTATTTATTTATTTATTTATTTTTTTTTTGAAGAAAACATCAAGAAGATAAAAACACAATAAGAACATGTTTGAAATTGACTCTTAAATTTAGAGTTTTTATAATGAAGCATATTGCCATTGGCAAGCAAACAAAAGTTATTATTTTATTAATTTGTGAGGGCAGTGAGTTAAAAATTACAAGATTGCAGTGTGAAAAGTTAAAAATAATATACAACGTGTTGTTTTATTTTATGTGAAAATTATCTTTCCCTTTCTATGTGATAAAGTGATAAGGTATATTAAATTGTTTGCAAATGTGCTCATAATAAGAGAGAGCTTAATGTCGGGACACGAGTCAAAAAAGCAATTAGAGGAAAAATTATTATTTCATTCATGGTAACTGTATGTAATGTACTTACATCATTCTTATTGATTAAGTCCCTCTCTTATGGAGTCATGGTAAAGTATTACCGACGATTCATCAAACTATCTATCAATCATCAGGCTATTGGAATACCAATTCGCCTTGATTTTAGATCACCTAATAATTTCTCACATTAGAAAGAGATGTAAAGTTCGCTATGTTTAGCCTTTGCAAACTTCAATGTTCTTCTACATCTGATAGACTTCAAAGAAGATACCATATTGTAGTTGTAGATTATTTATTTATTTTTTATTTTTATTTTTATTGTAGTTGTAGTATAGTGGTGGTAATTTGAGCCATGGGTTCAAATCTTTGTACAAATCAAATCAATTCAAAACAAATTAAAACTATGCATAATGTCTCATTTATGTGATAATTTTCTTTTTATTCTATGTGAAAAGAAGTAATAAGGTGTAAGTTAAAATGTATTTTAAATATTGTTTGTAAATGTATTCATAAAAGTAACTTACAATAGTGAAAGTTAAAATAATTTTGGCAAAATTATTTTTGACTTGTTACAGTGTAAAAAGATTATTTTTTTTAACTATACAACTTTGATGTTTCTTATGCTATTCTGACATAGCCTGGCCCCTATTAAATTTTTGTCATTGAATTTATTTCTCAAAGAGCATCTACAGATGAAGTTTAGGTTTTGCCAAATTTTGACTCAATATTTGGCACACTATTGGACTAGGTCTTTTGGGAGAGTATATAGCTAACTAAAAATGACTTTAGCTCAAGAATTACGAATATAAACAATACTAAACATGCCTTTAATGTTGTGTTTGGTAGAGAGATTTGGAGAGAGATTTGGAAAAGAAAAGGGAGGAAAAGGTGTGTGAAACTATGTGAAATATAGACATCTTTTATTCACATTTCACTTACCTTTTTCATTTCACTTTTTAAATTCCTCTTTAAATTCCCTAACCAAACACAACATAAATGTCGAGTCAGCAAAGCCATTAAAGGGATATGCTGAAGGTCTATAGATTTTGAAAGATAATATGACCGCAACACACACTGTAGTTTCACTAGGTTTTGAACACTAAAATGGTTACTTCATTTGCATGTAATAGGCTTTGAAGACTTTGTAGATGTAGTAAACTGGTGGTAATTTGACTTCTGGGTTCAAATCTTTGTACAAATAAAATTGAAATTATTTTTTGAAAAAGATACTTTGATTTGAAGGTTTCAGAAGACTATTTCCTCATAATATATAGTAGAAATTCATATTATCAATGAGTAATGGTGTCAAATGAATGCTAGGTCCTATGTACTGATAACAATAGTAACAAATCTATCATTGTAAATTGTTTGTACAAAATGTATGATGGGCTCAGTCTACACAGGTTACTTCTAAATTAAGGTAGTGTTTGATAACATTTATAGTTTAGTAATTTTTATTTACTGAAAATATTATGTTTACATTAATAAAAATAAAAATAAAAATACTTGTTTGGTACATATATTTTTAAAAACAAGTGAAGGGGTAGCCATGGAACTAAGGTGGAGAGCGGAGATTGAGGGGACTTGTTGGAGGTTGTAGCCAACTGTGGCGTTCGAGGGGGTCACCCGGAACGGTGGCCGACAGTTGTGGTGAGCAATGTAGCGATAAGAGGGGTGAGGTAGGGAGAAATGAATGAAAACTTATTTTCAAAACAAACGTAAATATATATATTTTTGTCTATAGAATTAGAGTCAATTTTGTAAACCGGTTCTATTTTTTGGAAACAAAAAAGATATGTCAAACAATTTTTGTTTGCAATTTTTAAATTTCTTGTAAACATAAATAAAAAAAATATAAGCATGAACGTTACCAAATGGGGATCATAATTTATTTGGAGGGAATTGGTAAAACAAAATGAAAAACGATTTGGTCCAAGGCAATATCTAACCACACAGAAATTACTTTGACAAATTATTATGTTTTACATTATTTTCTTGCATCAACACACCTTTTTTTTTTATTATTATATATAGAATTTTAGTAAATTTTTATGGAAAACATAAACTTTCCGTAATGTGTGGATCCAGAATTTACTTGGAGAGACTTGGTAAAACAAAATGAAAAACGATTTGGTTTGAGGCCAAACATATCAAACCATATATGACATAACACTGCAATTACTTTGACTAATTATTATTTCTTATCTAAGCTCAAGTTTTACATTGTTTCCTAGAAACAACTCACATTTTTTCATTTATAAAAAATTTGTAAACATAAACAAACATTATAACAATAAACATTATGAAATGAGAATCCAGAATTTACTTGGAGGGACTTGGTAAAACAAAATGAAAATCGATTTGGTTTGAGTCCATAGCTATACATATATGTCAGCAGTGGCGGAGTCAGAAAATTAATTTAGAGGGGGCACTTACTAATTATAATAATTTTTACAAAAATATTTCACGTAAATTTTTTACGATTGATTTCAGGAAACATCAAAAAAAAAATTATTTGTAACTAGTGTATCATGGATAATACAAAAAAAAATATAGATATAAGCCTTAAAATAAATTATATAATGATAAATTATTTTTTGATACCAAATTTGATTAAAAATTCTATATAATGATAATACCACGTCATCATTAGTATGTAACATCACCCACTAATAGTAAATAAACGCATAAAGAGTGAACCTCACATGTCAAATGTAACTAACAATCTAATAAATTTTATATCTTTATAATGAGATTACTTATACTTGCATATCACTAACAATGATATCGTCGTTACATTCAAAAATTTTCATAGCTAATATAGTTTATTTATAATAATTTCTTCATTTTCAATCAAAACAACCGTTATTGTTTTCATAATTTTTAAAATGTCATTGAAATTTCACTCTAATAATATTTTTTTAATTTTTTATTTTAAAATTTTTTTTATGTTTACAAAAAAAAAAAAAAGCCAAAAATCCAGGGAGGCACGTGACCCCTTGGTCACATGCTCCGTCCGCCACTGTATGTCAGACCAGTGACTATTTTGACTAATTATTTTTCTTATCTAACCTCAAGTTTTACACTGTTTAATTTATTGCATTAAACTGAGTAGAATGGTTTGCAAAACATTTTCATGCTTAAATTTGATTATGGGGTTGAAGTTGAGAAATATTAGTTATAGTATTAGGCAAAACATATTTAGAATTTATGCAATAAATAAATAATTGTCACTAATTATTATTTACTTTCTGTAAATCTTTTAATTTTAAACTTCTTCAATCGCAAACAAAGATGAATTTTAATATATTGATACTTTTATTCAATTTTTATTTATTATTATTATTATTATTTTTTTTATATAGTATATGACTAAATGTATTTTTCGTATGACACACACCATATCAACTTTAAATATATATCATATACTTCATTTTATGAATTTCTTTTCTTAGGTAATTGTATTGTGAGAAAAGTATTCAAAATATGAGAAGTCCGATTAACATTCTATTATATGAAACCAACCCTCAAATCGGTATGATTGTCACATTTTTTTGATTTTCAAAAATATCCCGATAGCGGTTTTATGGACAGTTATGTCTTAAATTTATTTATTTATTTTTTTTAAACAACTATTTTTTATTTTTTTTACTCTTAAATGTTGATCTGTTTTTATAAAATATTTCAAATTTAAGTTTTGAATTCAATCATACACTTCTCAATTATTTCTTTGAAAGGAAAAAAAAATGATATGCACACCCATTTCTAATAAAAAAAATATATATATATATATATATATATATATCTATATGTGGCGCCGGCAATAGGTTGAAGTCCAAACAAGAAATAAAAATACATACAAGAATCCAAATTGTTAGCTAGCAAATCAGCACAAGCCTTGTAATAAATTGGGACCGGCTTTCATTCAGTTCCAGATCGAATTGAAGTATATTGTTTGGCCCGCGAGGATCCACTATGAGTCTTATTTTGATAATTCGAACCATTTAATATGTAGAACTCGTCGAATACTATATTCCTCTGAATATCACGTTAATCAGATATCGATAACTATTTCATCATATTAGATTTCTATCAACCGTTTATTTTTCACTGTTTATTTTTTTTAATACAATATTGATTTGATAACGTAACTATCGATATCCGATTACGTGATTTTCTACAGACATATACTATTCGACGAATTCTACATATTAAACAATTCAAATTATTGAAACGAGACTTATAGTAAGCTCCACAAGCTCAATAGTATCCTCCAATCCAATCTGGGACTAGAGACAAGTTCGACCCTAATAAATTTGTAATGTATTATTACAATTATTTTTGAAGAATTGAAGCAGTCAAGTGTTTTA